TGACGCCCACACTGGCTCCCCTTTTTTGGATGCCAGGCGCTACAAGAGACTGTCCTACTTGCACACATATGGTGGTGTTCCTTGCCCACCTGTATTCACTACAGACGTGCCCCCAGGAAGGCAGGGGCTTATCTGCCTTGTGTTTCCACTGCCGCATCTTCAAAGCCTAGATGGGTATGGGAAAATGGGTGGATATGAATGAATGAGTGAATGAACGAATAAGTAAATGAACAAGGCCTCCTATCGCCATTCCAAGCCACAGCTGAGGTGGCCTTCACCAAATATCCCCTTCCGTTCCGCCGCGTTGCTTGGGGCTGGTGCCGGATGGATGTTGGAACAGCTCAGGGGAGCCGATGGAGAGGCAGCCACAGGTGGCGGTGGCCATGCAGTGGGCGTAGAAGCACGTGTACTCTGAAGCAGGGTGAGATGCAGGCCAGCTGCGAGAGTGGGAGAGAGAGCCGGCCCAGGAGAGCCTGGGTCTCTCCCCTGCTTCGGCCCGGCTGCCGGGAACAAGCCACTGCTTGGGTGCTTGGAGCGCACTGGTCCAGCCCGTCCTTCTGTGTGTCTGGTTGCCACTCGACTGGCCGATGGGGGGGGGGGGGGGGCAGTGCTCTGTGTGCAGCATGCCAGGGAGGATGGGTGAGGGGTCCAGGCGAGCGCTGTGTCCTCCGGGGTCCCTTAAGCAGAGCTGAGCTGAGAGGGTGGTTCGTGTAAACCAACCAGGGGCCTGGCCTTCCAGGGAGGACTCGCTGCTCCTGCCTTAAGGGAATGTTCTGGGGATGGTCAGGCTGAGGGTAGAGGAATCTAGTTCCTTCGGCGGCTGGGGAGAGCGAGGGAGAGCCAGGAGTTACTGCCCCTTCTCCTTTGCTCCGGCAGGAAAGTGGAATTATGGCTTCCGGGGTGGGGAGGGGGAGCCCCGCCCAGCACAGGCTGTGGGGAGTGGCCGCCCTGTCATCAGGCAGCCTGTTTTAGCCACTTCCCCAGAGCTGAGTCACTGCACTTAGCAACACCCCCGGCCGAAGGCACAGCTCTCTTTCGCAGGGCCCCCTTCCTGGCGGGGGGCGTTCAGGCCTCCTGACCTGCCCCCCCCCAGGACTGGCCCGGGCCACCTGCTTGCCCTTAACCTCCGTATTCCGTCTCCTCACGCCCACATCATTTTGTGTTCAAAGCTTAGGGTTCTCATCAGCCCTGAGGCCCAGACCTTGGCCCCCGCTCAGGGCTGCGGGGCATCCCGATGCTGGGTGACTCCACAGATGCCCCGCAGCTCTCTCAAGATTCTTCCGTGCTGGGCACTGGAGGGACGGTTTGGGTTTTTATAAGCCGGAAAGCCTCGTTCCCACCCCCAGAGAGCAGCACTGCAAGTAGCAGAAAGCACTGGCCGGACGTTCACTTTCTCTCTGGGGGTGTAGCGGCCTGGCCTGTGGATTTGCCTACTGGCCTCCGTTCCCTGTGCCTTTGTTTCACCCTCCAGGATCTGTCCCCCCTCTAAGGGGAGCTTGGTGGGATGCTGGGACCCTCCTGTCCTGTAGTCTTGGTGGCCAGAATGCCAGGTCCCTGTGAGTGGCCGCAGGCCTCTTCATGGGTTCTGCTGAGACCTTGGCGGTCGAGTCTGTGGTTCCCCTTTCTCCGTGAAGAGCACTTCACGTGGGGGAACCACAGCGCTTAAAGTTGCTTACTGGCTCGGGGGATTCTTACTGTTACATCGAAACCCCGAACTCTGGAAGTTCATGGCTTATGTTCCCACAATTTTATGGGAACCTACCCTGCCTCCCAGCCACCCGCCCGCCCCCTCCTTTTTTTAAATTTTTCTTTATCTGATCAGCCGTATAAGCTTTAGTTTTGTAGCTGTGTTCTCAACCTGGGACAGTTTTGCACACATTCCCCGCCCCCACCCCCAGGGGACATTCGGTATGTCTGGAGACATTTTGATTGTCACCCCTGGGGAGGGATGCTCCTGGGATTTTAGGGGGCAGAGGCATGAATGATGTTAAAACATCATACCATGTGCCAGAGGACCCCCCACCACACGAATTATCTGGTTCAAAGGGTTGACACTCTCGGATCGTTCAGGAACTTTCTTGAGGAAGCAGCTCCTCCTTTTCCTGGACTCTGCTGGCCCAGAAGCGGGGAGGGATGTTCAAATGGTAAAGGTAACTGGGGAAGGATGCTACCCACTGAAGGCCAGAGAAAGGTCTGGAACGGAGTAGAGAGAGCACTGGACCAGGAGGCCAGCCTCCCACCCAGCTCTGCTGTTTGGGACCGAAGCCTGGATGGGTTACTCTGCTTCCGTTACACCGGTTTTCTGCAGCTGCCCTGAGCGTCCCTTCTCGCCCAGCTCTTTGAGATCCCAAGATTCAGTGACTAGAGGCAGGCATTTGAGTGCAAGCAGTTTGAAGACATGAGCCTTTTCCATTGTTGCCTCAGTGCCCTGGGCGGGGGGCAGCAAAAGCTGAGAGATTCTCTGTTACCAAGAGTTCGTTAGAAACCTGCTTTGATTTCTTTCTGTTCCTAACACGTCTGAGGCCACCCCTAGCCTCCCTTTCTCTTTTTCAGCCAAAGAGAGCTTTTCCCGCAAAGTTTCACCTGGGAGCCCATGGCGGGCCCAGAAGGTCACATACGGCGACCCTCTCCGGGGCAGTGTGGCGAGGGGATAACCCGAGGCCAATACTTTTAATGTAGTTTGAGTCAACAAAACCGTGGCCCATGGGCCAAATCTGGCCCACAGCTTGTTTTTATATATAAAGTTTTATTGGGACGCAGCCACACCCTTTGTTTCCATGCAGTCTGTTGCTGCTCTCCTACTACAAAGAGAGCATCTTCCACAAAGCCAAAGGTCTTTAGTCTCTGGTCCTTTATAGAAAATGCTGGCCAATCCTTGGTCTGGCTGTTCCATGTCTGATTGTTGAGAGGTTAGATCCCAGGCCGTGGGCAGGAGAAGGGGGTCCAGGGTAGGGGTAGGGAGAGCTAACTCACCTGAGGGTTGGTGGGAGGAAGGAGAGCTGACTGGCTGTAGTGAGAGTCCTCCCCTGGCTCTGAGCCCAGCCCAAGTCACCTGTGTGGCATGTCCCCCCCGCCCCTGTGCCTGGCTCCTGCCTCCCGTCCTAGAGAACTTTGTTTGCTGGAGTGACAAACACATGACTGTCTGGGGTGAGGCTTCGGGGGGGCCACTTGATGGTGGGGGAGCCATCAGACTGGGCGGCAGTAACCGGACAAGGACTGAGAATACTGTGGAGGGTGTTTGGAGGACTCAGAGGTCAGGCCGGCGGGGAGCCCTGGAGCCGGCCATATAGGCTGAAGGGAAGCCATTGCTGGCCCTGGACTGAGAAGCAGAAAGGGAGAGTGGGGAGGGCAGGACAGAGGTGTTGCCTTTCAACAGGTCTTTGAGGACCCGCTGCTAGGTGGGATTCAGTGGTGAGTCGGCCCGCCGGAACATTCTGGAAGCTCAGGGTCCAGTGGGCAGATTGCAGCCCAGCTGGCAGGAATAGAACAATGTGGGTGGTGCCTCCCAGGAAGGCCGGAGGAGAGGTGGCCGGAGTGGGTTCACCCTGGCTAAGGACAGTTTCCCGGAAGAAGTGACGCCTCAGCCGAGCCCTGAAGGACGTTGAGTAAGCCGGGTGACAGGGTGTGCCAGCAGGGACCCGCATGTGTCCAGTCCTGGAGTCCAGGAGCCAGAAGCTCAGGGCTAGGACAGAGAGCAAAGGTGGGGAGCGGCAAGCAGTGGCGTGGAGGAAGGGGGGGCAAGGACGGGCGGCCAGAACGAGGGGCCTGCGCCCGAGTGTCCTGGATGGGTTTTGTTTTAGATAAAAGGTGAAGAATGGGCTGGAGAAGGACAGAAGGGGAAACGGATCTGCTGGGCAGGCATCGGGGGTCTGGGTGGGGGGAGGGGGATGCCGTGGCCTGGCTGGGCGTGAGGAAGGACCCCCATGGGTTGTGCTTGGCAGTGGGAAGCGTGGTCCCTCTGTGAAGTCTTGTTGGCAAGACTGCGGCCACCACCGTCCCCCGTTAGATCCCGCAGGTCTCCCCGCCCTGCTCAGCCCTGCATTGCTGGGGTTGGCGTTCGGGGCAGGTCCCTCCAGAGGGAAGACGTCTGGTTTGGCCCCAACAGTGGACCTCAGCTTGGTGCTTCCAGGAGCTATATGGGTGGTACCCGAAGCTTTCAGACGCCCCAGGCTCTGCTGGGCTCCTCTCTGCGGAGCTTCAATTTTAGTTACTGTCCCCCTGGGGGTTGCAGACCTCGGGGGCCAGGCCACCTAGTCCCTGCTCTCGCCCTGCACCCCTAATGATTAAAGGGACCAGGGGGGCCTTTTCTGGTCTGCATTCCTAAGAGACACAGGGTGAGTCTTCAGCAGAGAGCTTGGGCCCCACGGTGGAGAGGTCGCAGGCGGGGTCCTCGTTAGCGGGGCACCCAGCGAGGACGGGAAGCCTGGAGAGCTGGCTCTGTGGGTCCCAGCAGCCCCGCCCCAATTGTGATTCAGAAAGCGAGTCTGGCCGCCCACATGCGCAGAGATGTCGGGCCCGTCTCTCCGGGGCCCGTCTTGTTCTCTCCCTCGTCGGAGGACTGTGACTCAGGTTGAGGTGTCCACTGACTTCACGGGGATTGAGGTCAGACAGCAGGAAGAGCTTAGAGCGCGCCTCCAGCCCGGCTGTCCGCGGGAGTCCTGTCCCAGAACCATCCCTGGACCGCCGCACGGAACCGCCTGGGCACCTCCACGGCCTTAAACGTGGTTGCGTTCACGCTGGTGGCATCCTGGTTGGGGGAGATGTCGTCCTTCGGAAGAAGGCTCATCCTTCTCTCTGGTGCTGGGAAAGTGTCCCTCTGGCCACCTGAACTCAGCCCGGCTTTGCGGAAGGCGCTCGCCTACCCCGAGTGCCTGTGCGTGAAGAAACAGACAAGGTTGTGACACGAGGTGCTTATTTCACAGTCTGTCGTTTTGGTGGGAGAGCCGAGGTGTGGGCAGCAGCCCCTCTTTAACCCTTTGCCTCCTGTTCTCTTCCTGCAGCCCTATGATCTCCTTGTCACCCCCTACGCCCGCCGGACTTCAGATCTGACCCCCGACCCGCCTGCCGCCTTGGGCGCACCCTGCCCCCCCCCCCCCACCATCGGCAAGATGCCCATTCTCAAGCAGCTGGTGTCCAGCTCGGTGCACTCGAAGCGCCGCTCCCGTGTGGACCTCACGGCTGAGATGATCAGCGCCCCCTTGGGCGACTTCCGGCACACCATGCACGTGGGCCGGGCGGGGGACGCCTTCGGGGACACGTCCTTCCTCAACAGCAAGGCCGGCGAGCTGGACGGCGAGTCCCTGGAGGAGCAGGCTGCCTCCACGTCCTCCAAACGCAGCCTCCTGTCCCGGAAGTTCCGGGGCAGCAAGCGGTCGCAGTCGGTGACCAGGGGGGACCGGGAGCAGAGGGACATGCTGGGCTCCCTGCGGGACTCGGCTCTGTTCGTCAAGAACGCCATGTCCCTGCCGCAGCTGAACGAGAAGGAGGCCGCCGAGAAGGGCCCTGGCAAGCTGCCCAAGAGCCTGTCGTCCAGCCCCGTGAAGAAGGCGAGTGCCGGGGAGGGCGGCCAGGAGGAGGCGGGCGACGGGGAGCCGACGCCCCGGCGGAACGGGGCCACCGCCCCCCACTCCCCCGACCCCCTGCTCGACGAGCAGGCCTTCGGGGACCTGACGGAGCTGCCCGTGGTGCCCAAGGCCAGCCTGGGGCTCAAGCACGCCGAGTCCATCATGTCGTTCCACATCGACCTGGGGCCGTCCATGCTGGGCGACGTCCTCAGCATCATGGACAAGGAGGAGTGGGAACCGGAGGAGGAGGAGGAGGAGGGCGGCGGTTACCATGACGACGGGGACCCCGCAGGCGGCACCCTCCGGGCTCCCCCAGCGGCGGCGGCTGCGGCGGCGGCGGCAGCCCCTCCACGGGCAAGGCAGCAGGAGGGTGCAGGGGGCCGGGACCTGCCCCAGGACCAGGGCTGGGCGGCGGCCCCCAGCCCCGGCTCGGCCCGCAGCGAGGGCAGCCACACCACGCGGGACAGCAGCTCCCTGTCCAGCTGCGCCTCGGGCGTCCTGGAGGAGCCCAGCCCTGCCTCGCGGGGGCCCGACAGGGCCCGGGCCGCGCTGCCCCTGCAGCAGGACAAGGAGTTCTCCTTCATGGACGAGGAGGAGGATGAGATACGAGTGTGAGGGGCGCCCAGCAGGGCGGCAGGGGGCTCCGTCTCCTCCCTGCCCCCAGGCCACCACCCCCTTCCCGCCCCGGCCCGTCCAGTGCAGGGCAGCCAGGAGCCTGGCTTCCACCGCACACCCCGGGTGCCCCCCTCCCTCCTGGAACTGGGGCGCTGGACACATGGGGAGGTGGTGCCCTCCTGTGCGCCGCGGGCCGGCTGGTGCTTGCGGGTTCTCCCTTCCCTCTACCCTGGCCTCGGACGGTGCCCCACAGTCGGCCAAGTTCCCTCCTCGCGGGGCAGCCACAGCTGGTCAGCCCGGGAGCGGCCCCGGTGCCTTGGCTAAGGACGCTGGGCTCACCTTTCCGCTCCTGGCGTCTCTGCTCTGACTGGTGGCCGTGTGGCTGGAGGAAGGGTGATCCCACACCCCGGCCCCCCCCCCCCCCGCTGTCTCCCCCCCCACACTTCCTGCCCCTGCACTGCGAGCCTGGAGCCCCTTGGAGCAAAGCCGGACCCAGTATGTGCACTAAACACGGCCCCTTCCAGGGGAGAACAGGATGGGAGATGAAAGAAAGGAGGCCCCGGGGCTTCCTGAATTTTCTACAAGGGGCCTTCCCAGGATGACACTAGGAAGAGGCTGGGCGCTCGCTCAGCCCCTATCGATTTGTCTGTCCTTCTTGTCCTGTTTAAATCCTTCCAGAGCCGTATCCGGAACAGCGTTAGTAGGTCTGCCACCAGACGGAAAATCAGATCCTTTTAGAAAACCTATATACTAAGTGCTTCCAGACTTTATTTAGAGCTGTATGGGGTGGGCGTCCTTGGTGTGGCCCTCTCCCCACCCCATAGCCATTAACAGCTGAAGGCAGCCCGTGTAGGAAGTTTCTGGAAAAGGATTTTTTTTAAAGAAATGTATCATTCCTATGGAGGGATAGAAGCTTTTTTGACCGTGTTACTACACACACACACACACACACACACACACACACACACACTGACTACTTCCTCTTCCTTCTTTAGGCCTTTCTGAACCTCTCCCCCCCATTTCTGAGGCCCCTAAGGGTATAGGGTTGCCAGATTTAGCAATAAAACAAAACAAAGCCAGAATGTGGGGATAAATTAGGATGTCAGGCATACAAAGGATCATTTCTTTAGTATACGTATGCCCTACACCATGTTTGGAGCATACTTATGCTGAAAAATTATTTGTTGTCCTTCCGAAATCCCAGTTTCGCCGAGTGGGAGCGTGGGCGTGTGCCCCAGGGTTAACCGATGATTCTGTTCCTGTCCTGGGAACAAGCTGACCCACCTTCTCCTGTCCCCTTGTACCCAGTGGGGGGAGGGGCCGGCGGCCATGGCTGCTCCCGCCTCTCATGCTCGTTGCCAGATCTTGATCCAGACACTAACTTAGTTCCTGATTCCAGCGCCCTGTCAGTACTGTTTCCAGTAGCGTGGCTGCCATGTAGGGGAGGCATCGGACAGGCTGTACAGCCCCCGCCAGCTGCCCTTGAAACCCATCCAAACAGTGGTCAGTTCCAGATTCTAAACTGTATATATTTTTTCATGGTATTGTTAAAACAGTGAGGAACATTAAAAAAAAAAAAAAGCACAGTGGCACACCTGGTGTCTGTCTCTGCCTCTGGGGAGGGTTACTGCAGGATGTGGGTGTGTAGGGGTGCAGACTGGGGGCCCTGGGGCTGCCTGTGCTCCCCAGGCCCTCGGGGTCTGGGGTGGCTTCTCTCCCTGTCCCTCTGCCGCCCCCCCCTCCCCTGCACTGCTCTCGGGCCCCTGGAGAGACAAGGCTTCTGTGCCTGTCTGCTGGGCAGGTCTTAGAGGCTCTGGGATTTTGGTGCCCCATGTGGCACTTACCAGGTGGGGGCCTGTGGGCACTAAATCACTTAGTTGCTTTGTGCCTCCTGCATCTGTGATTTGGGAATCTTGCTGCTCTCACAGGGCTGGGTGCAGCCACAGTCACTGCCACGGAGTTTGCAAAGCTATTACTAAACCTGGGGAGCCTGGGTTCCCCCAAGCCCCCAGGTGCCCACATGCCTGGGAGCGGGCACCACCGGGAACAGCAGGTGCAGAGGCTGGGAAGGAGCTGCCCTCCCTTCTTTCCTGGCCGTTTTGGGCAGCATGTTCTCCATCCAGACATGTGGCCTGTGAGAGGTGGACTCGTGTCCCCGTTTTAGGGAAGAAACGGGCTCCAGGGGCCGCATGGTCACCTTCCCCAAGTCACTAAGGAGTAGACTCGGGACATCACGGACTTAAAGCCCTTACACCTGGCTGCACACAGGCTCCAGGAAGTTTCATGCCCTCAGGAAGTGAGGTTGGGGGTGTGTCTGCCCTGTTTGGGGACCTGGAGACCTGCCCCCCCTGCCCCCGACCGTGTCAGCCCAGGCAGGGCTCTGCTAGCTGAAGCCCCTCACGTGTCCTGTCCACGGGCGGGCCAGTGTGGCTGAGTTCCTGGAAACCTTTCCCCTCGCCTCGAGCATCCGCAGAGAAATTTGGGCTTGTGCTCACCCTCCCTGGGAACAATTAGAAGCGTAATAAAAAATGTTGCACAGGCCCCTCGGCCCCAGAGAGGCTGGTTCCCGGTTAATGAGGGATGTGGCAAAGGGTGGGAGTGGCCCCAAGAGAGGGAGGGGAGAGGAGGTGGGGTCCCAGGGGGGCCTGCAGAGGAAATGCTCTGTACACTGAGGCCCAGGGAGGTTCTGGAAGAGCACCTGCATGGAGCTGTGCGTCCCAGACAGCGGGAACCCCCTGGACCCACCTAGAACCCCTCACCCTGGATCCGTGAGAGCCTGGAAGAAGCCAGCCACCCTGAGACCACAGACCTGCCTATCGACTCTTGATCCAAAAGTGCCAACTGGCATTCAGGGGCCTTCGGAGAGACCTGGCTGGACCCACGCCTTTAGGAACACGCATTCCGGGTGGGGCCCCAGGGGACGGACCCAGCAGAGTGTGGGATAACCAGGTAGAATCAACCTGGCCACACCAGCTCTCATCTCGGTTTGCTGCGTGGTGTTAGGCCACCAATTTCCCCCTCTGGGTAGCTTCAATTTCTCCATCTTTAAAGTTAGGCACGGGGCACCTGGGTGGCTCAGTCAGTTAAGCGTCTGACCTCGGCTCAAGTCATGATCTCCTGGTTCGTGGGTTCGAGCCCCACATTGGGCTCTGCTGACAGCTCAGAGCCTGGAGCCTGCTTCAGACTCTGTGTCACTCTCTCTCTGTTCCTCCCCTGCTCATGCTCGCTCTCGCTCTCAAAAATAAAAACATTAAAAAGAAAAAATGTAAAATTAGGCAACAGCCCAGTTGTCAACTTTTTACCAGACGCTTTGCAGTGAACCCATTTGTTGAATGTTGAACCCCTATCCATAAACAGACCAAGCCAGATTCCCTGGGTGGGTTTGGGGCTGGCGGAGGGGGAGGTCGTTACTCTCTCCCCTTTGGTCTCTGAGGCTCACCTGGGAAGCCCACGGCCCCCGCAGAGCGCATCTCACCTCACAGAGGCCCTGGAGGCCCCCCACCCCCACCCCTACCTCCCTCAACCCAAACCAGGAGCCAGGGGCCGCATCTGGGCAATAACGTAGTCATGCTGATTCAGGTCACAGCCAACACTTCCAAAAATGTGCTTCAAACCTTGCAGCTCTGGGCAGGGCTGTGGTCCAGCCTAAAGATGCATCGGTGCCAGCCCACCCTGGTCCGGCCTTCATGTCCTGCCCCCAGCCACCGCTGCAGGGCCGGGCTCTGTCAGGGCCGGGCTCTGTCATGCTTCCCTGGGCACATGCTGTTCTGGACCATCACTGTGGTGATGGCTGGTGTCCGCTTTTAGGACCGCCAGACGCCAGGCACTGCCCTTGGTGCTGACCTCACTGATCCTCATGACGACTCTATGGGGCCCATGCTATTCCTATTGCCCCCATTCTACAGACGAGGACGCCATGGCAACTGAAGGCTAAGGACTGGCAAACAGAGGGGCTGGGGCATGGACCCGGGCACGGGCTCCAAAGCCCTTCCTCTCCACCAGTCCCAACCTGATGATTTACACTTTGGGACCGACAGTGACCAGCAGGGCCTGTGACCTGGCTCACAGGGCAGTGCAGAGAGAGGCCTCATTGGGTGGGGGGTTCCTGGCTCACCTGGGCCGTGTGCCCAAGGGAAGGGGGGTTGCTGCTCGCTGCCGCACGAGGGGCTGGTGGCTACTGATTCACGCTGTCCAAAGGGCCCAGCCAGTGCAAAGACCCTTCCCGGGGCTGCTCAAGGCTGGCCTCTGTCTCTGCTGGGCAGGCCCTTTGCCTCACGAGCCTGCAGTCTTGGGCCTGAGTTCCTGCCGGGGTACCGGCTGGTCCTACAAAGCGCTCACCTTCGACTCCGTTCTCTCCCCCGCAACTTCACCATGTTCCCAGAAGCGGACAAAAGGAATGCAGGGAGTCAGGACACAGGAGGGAGGAGTTCTTAGGATCTCCCAGATTTTAGGATACAGTTCGCCTCTCCCGGTGTCCCATTTTACAGATGGGCAGACGGAGGCTGGGGGGAAGAAAGCACTGGCTGGGTCCTGTGAGCAGAGCAGAGACGGAGGCAGACTGGACCGGCTCGGGCACGGTGGACAAGGGGCAGGCCCTGCTTGTGGACCGTGGAGGGCATGGGTGCTTACTGAGCTGGGAGTGTTAGTTGTCAGGCTGATTGGTCGGGATGTGGGGGGTTGACCTTTCCAAGTGCATGTCGCACCCCCTACCCATCCCTGGCTCACCCCGGCCCTCACACGACAGCCTTCCAAAGGGTCCCGCCTCTGCATACAGCGCCCCCCCGCCAACACCACCCCTGGGTGCAGTGACAGTCTACACAGCAGAGTATCCCTGCAGCCTGAAAATGTGGGAAAGGCAACCTAGGAATAGCGAAGGGAGAGCTTGCTAGCCCCTTGGCAGCAGCCAGATGGGAGACTGGAAAGAATGTTTGGGGGAGGGAGAGGTATTTGCAGGCAGATGGATGTCACTGGCTTTGCCTCTGAAGCCTGTTGCTCTAACCCACCAAACTGCTGTTCTCGCAGGAGGGGACAGGAGGAGCCAAGGAGAGCTGCCTTCCCCCAGCAGGACTCTAGCCTTGAAATGACACTTGGCATGTTAAAAAATACCCACCGAAGCCACAGGGCTCTGCTGAATTTTGTTTTGTTTCTATGCCCTGCTTTGTTGCCAAAGGAGTGGAGGTGGCTTACCAAAAAAAAAACAAAAAACAAAAAACAAAAAAAAACAAAAAAAAACAGGATAAAAATAGATCGAAGCAAAAACAGGGCTGGAACACACAGTACAATGAACCAAGAGGTTGGTCCAGCAGAAATGTTCTCAGAGCAGGGCCTCCATGGTTCTCAAAAGTGGGAGGGAACTTGGACTCTGGAGCTTCCCGTTAGTCAAAGAGAAAAGGGAAACCCACCTGTTAGGAAACTCACGATGTCCACGGGGTTCGACCCACCCCAGAAGCAACTCTGCATTTGCTGAGGTCTGAGAGGGATTCGTGTGAGATCGTTGAAGGAGCCAGGGGTGGGGTCTCAGGCAATGTCCTCAACCGCCGTCTCCTAATAGATGCGGCCCATCAGGCTGCCTTTGCTCAAGCAAATCAAGGGCTTGATGCCAAAGTGCAGATCAATAAAATCAGGTCTCTGGAGAAGGCCAGACCTAAGTGGCCCAAGTCATTCATCCAAGACGTATAGATTAGATTCTCCAAAGCAGGGGCTCTCAACCTCAGCACTATTGACACTTGGGGCCCCATCATTCTTTGTTTTGGGGGACTGTTCTGCAAGACGTCTCTACCCACTAGATGCTACTAGCATCCCCCCCCAAACTGGCTATGTCCATCCAAAATGTCCCCAGACATTGCCAGATGTCCCATCCGGGGCTGAAAACCACAGATCCTGTTGCAGGAACACCTTTTTCCTTTTTTTTCCCCCCCGAAGGTCCAATTTAAGGCAAAACTGTTTTCAGGTCACGTGTTTTTTATTCAAAGGAAAAATAAAAGCTTATGGAGTCCCGCGGAGGGGGGGGGGTGGAGATGTATCCACTCCCATCTTAAATTTTACCTACTTTGTGGGGAAAGCTGGCGCGCGCGTGCGCACGCACGCGTACACACACACGCACACACACACACACACACCCCAGCCAGTAGCGTGTTTCTCTGAAGATATTATTTGAGAAGTGCCACAGAGATGTAAATTTCTAGTCTCTGCCCCCGGAGCCAGACTGAGGGAGGGACTGGGAAGGTGGCCGCGGCCGGGGCTGCTGTCTGCGGCTCTAGGGTGGCGAGGGGACTGTGTAACCTCCCAGCTGACTTGGAAGATGCGGCATCAGTATCATTTCTGGCAACCAGGGCCCCTCCCCTGCCCCTCAGCAAGTCGAATCAGGGCCGCCTGCAAGTTTGAGGCCATGTCCTCCAAAGCTGGAAATGGGCAGCACGTATTCGTTCTCTTTGTCCCGGTCAGGGGTTTACCTGACACCTGCTGTGTGCCCAGCATCGCGAGAGGCGCAGGGACGCTGAGCGAATGTAAGAGCGTGGACAGCCGGGCACTTTTTACCACGTTAGTAAAAACATGCACGCATTTATGTTATGTATTAAAAC